CCCCCCCCCCCCCCCCCCCCCTTTTGCTGCAGCTCCGGGCCGCCGCCACGGAGACCTCGGAGCTGTTGGCACTTCTGCCGCCCGGGATACCCGGCTGTGCCATGCTGGCCCCTCGTCCTTTTGCGTTTAGGGTTTAGGGTTTAGGGTTTAGGGTTTAAGGTTTAGGGTCGTTTTTTGGCGCTTTTGGGATTTTTCGTCCTGGTGGTTACGTTTTTTTGGTGGGTTTAGGACATAACATGGCGATTTGTTCATAGGGTTTAAGGTTTAAGTTTTGATGTAGTAGTTTTTCAAAGGGTTTAGGATTTGGGGGTTTCGTGTCAGGGTTGCTGCTTTAGGGTTCCTGTGAAGGTCTCCAGGATAGAAGCACGTAGAAGCATGCGCGACAGCAACTGAGTAGCAAAACGGATCTACGAATCTACGCAGCTCTTAAAGCCCTGAGCTCTCAAACCTATTTGCTGGACCCGCAGTAGAAACTCAAACCTGAAACCACACGAAGTACATAAAGCACCGGTCGGACAACAACCAAAGGCATACTCAGACCTTACAACTCTGATTCAGCAGGCATTTTACGAGAATTTCCTGTATGCATCCTAAAACCAAAACCCTAGCGTGCGAGCTTGTTCGTCGGATGACGCTGAAGTGTGGAAACCCTGAGACATCAGGAACCAAAAAGCACCTAAACATAAGCTTTTTGGTGGGACTTCCCAACCTAATTGGCTTACCTTGTGCGGGGTCCCTAAGTCAAAGAACTCGAAACCTCGAGCCTTCTAGCGCTCATCCAGAAGACCCCAAGCCCTAAGATCCGTTTAAGCTACACCCTAAAATAAACGGTTAGGGTTTAGGGCAACACCCAGAAATCATCGGTTTAGGGTTTCAGAACTTCGGGTTTAGGGAAAGTTAACAAAGAAACGAAAGCGCTTCGGGGTGTCCCGGGTCAGGGCTTTATTAGGATTTACTTGGACCCTCAGGTTCGGGATTTACCAGTTATCTTTAGCAAGAACTGTGGACCCATAATAAGAACATTGGACTCAGGGTCATGGCTGTAAACCTTTGTGGGTAAGAGTTTAGCCGTCGATGCAATTTCGTTTCCGGATTTTTCACGTTGGAGTGCCAGTCGGCTTCACAACCCATAGCCGAATTAGTGTAACCTAGCCCCGTAAACCCTAAAACCCTGAACCCTGAGCCCTTGCCCCTAACGTGGGGCCTTGATTTGATAATTACCTGTACTATTTGGGGTGGTTCCTTATTATAATTATAATAGAACTGGACCCCAAAGCCCTATTCTAATTATTAAGGCCCCTATATTACACCCCCCATACTGCTTAAAGGGTACCAGGCGCTGCAGCACTCCCCCTCCTGGTTCGCCGAAGGTTGAAGCCAAAGCCCCAACACCTACATCCCAGAGGTCAGCAACCTGCTAGGTAGTGTAGGGGCCTTCAGAATTAGAACAGGGTCTTGGGGTTCCTTGCTATAATTACAGTAGCATATGCCCTAAACCCTTTTCTAATTATTAGGCATTAGGTAGTATTAAGGAGACCCTTTAAAGGGGGACCAGCCCTGCTTTTGGCTCTCTTAACAGGGACCTTCTTGAGAGGATCTATATCCCCTTAATCCTAACTTATACAACCAAAACCTTCTGGACCGAATTTCTTCGGCGTTGATAGACTGGCCCTCGCAAAGAAGGGGGTAGGGTTCATGAAAAGCGGTGCCCAACCGCAAAAAATAAACTTCAAACCACCGGCTGGAATCCAGGGACCCCCCACTAGACCTCAGAACACCGTAAACCCTAAACCCTAAACACCCTAAAGCCCTGAAACCCCCAAACTCTAAGGCCCTAAGTCCTTAAGCCCTCGCAGCTACTAAACCCCCCAAGCCCCAACTCCTAAACGCCGGCATCTAAGGCAACCCATGAGCAGGACATACTTTGACCAGAGCAGACCGAGATTGGGGGTTTAGGGTTTAGGGTTTAGGGTATCTCTGCCGAGACTGGCTTAGGACTAGACGGTGCGGGGCGTCGAAGGCGTTCACCTGTGACCCTTATCGGAACTTTTTGCGCACGTAGGAGCTAGCTCAAGGATGGAACTTACGGTTTCTGGCTTTTGGGGTATGTAAGTCTGGAGCCTGAAAGGCTAAGCATGACACGATGTAGCTGGAAGTCCCTCGAGTCCTCAAAAGCCCAAGCTCAGGCTTTCGATGGGTCTGCGAGTGTAGTATAGGGGCCTGAATAATTAGAATAAGGTTTTGGGGGTATACTAGACTATACTATAGTTATAAGAAGGAACCCCCACAACAGTATTCGTGATTATTTAGGCTCCTATATTAGGTAGGGTCGCCGATTAAGAACTGTGGAGTTTTCGGATTCCGAATTCGCTCCCTTGGCCCCTGAAGTGTGTAGCAATCTGCCCAAGCCGACCTATAGAAGCAGGAAATGGTGATGACGGGCAGCGCACAAGGCCCCGCATCCTTCGTGCTAGCATCCGGGAGAATACAGCATATAGCGAGGCTATTCCGCCTGCCGCCAAGTAAGTCACTATACTGCCATCAATTTCAGCCCGAGTTCCGTGAAACAAGAGCATCGTTTCTGCGTGGCCCGAGCTTGGAGAATGGGTTTAATATGGGGGCCTCAATAATTACCTATAGTATTTTGGGGGTTCCCTATTATAGCTATAGTAGAATATACCCCAAAACCCTATTCGAATTATTAAGGCCCCCATATTACTACCAAGGGTTGACTGTGGGTTCGAATTTGCTCCAAGCGCTGAACTTGTGGCCGAAGCCGAAACCGAAATCCTGGAGCCTGGAAGTAATGTAACCCCTAAATAATTACCACGAATATTGTGGGGGGCTCCTTATTATAGTTATAGTATCATGGGCCCCAAAACCCTAGTCCAATTATTATTAAGGCCCCTAAATTAGACTGACCGCTGATAGATTCGATTCTTGAGAGATGCTTTTGTGGACTTGATTAGGACCTGAATGTTTTTAAGTCTTTCATTGAGCTATATTGAGCTTGAAGGGCTAACCTGCGAGGCCAAGGTCAAAAGGCTGACTCGTCGTGGCTTTATTATCATCTTGGGCTGGCGTGTTCAGGTTTAGGGTTTAGGGTTTGGAGTTTGGGGTTGAGGGTTCTGGAGCATTGCAGCGAACTAACTAGACTTCAGCAGTTGGCGTCGGGGCATTGCAGGCATTTCGGGACCGACCACCGGCCCTACGAAAGCCGGTTCAACATGCAGCGGATGATGCGAAAGGTTTAGGGTTTAGGGTTTAGGGTTTAGGGTGGTGCAGCATCGATCCGGCACGAAGGGGCCAGAACTTTACATCATCAATTAACGTCAAAGCCTTAAGCTTCGCCTATTAGAGAACCCCTATAGCACCCTAAACCCCAAACCCTAAGACCCTGAACCCTTAAGCTCCACTTAAGTTCTACACGGCCTGAAACCAAAGCTACTCAAGTTTGGAAAGTCCCAGCATGTCCCAACGCTAAACCCCCCGCCGACTCCTCACCCCTAAAGCTAGTAGAGAGAGGTGTGATTGGTGAGAAGGTCCCCTTTTCAGCCCCTGCAGAATTCTACTATAGTAATCAATTTCCGAAAGTAGAAGCCTGTTCGAATTATCCCCTATCATACAAGCCTTGGCGTAAACCTCAAGTCTCCAAAGAGATACCGAGAGACTTCAAAATCCCTAAAATAAGGAATGTACCTTACATCATATTGAACCAGACCGGGAGGCCATTTTCCCTAAACCCTTCTTGTAGCCCTTATAGAGCCATTCAAGGAACCCTTCAAAGGAACCCCCAAAGCCCTATTTTAATTATTAAGGCCCCTACATCAGGCTGGGCGCAGTATACCCTAAACCCTAAAGCCCTAAAGCCCTATATCCTAAACCCTAAACTGTAAACCCTAAAACCCTAAAACTCTATAGGCTGGGCGCAGCTGGCACTACCCATTCCCGGCTTCGTGGATCTCGCGGCTTTGCGTCTCTGAGCCTTGGCCGACCAAAGGGCGTTAGGGTTCAAGGTTCGGGGCTTAGGGGTTTAGGTTCAGGGTTTAGGGTTCAGGGTTTGGGGCTTAGGGTTCGGGGTTTAGGGTTCCGGGTTTAGAGTTCAGGGTTTAGGGTTCAGGGTTGAGAGTTTAGGGTTTAGTTAGGGATCAGGGTTCGGGGTGTAGAGGGTTTTCTTGCAAGTTACTGGTGTTTGAAGAAATCGAGATCTCCGAACTTTGCAGTAGGGTCCCTACAAGTCGGGGTATCATGGTTTTCTGAGATTCTCCCACTAGTTTTAGGGGTTGAGGTGCTCCCCAGAGAGCCCAATACCCCTTAATTCAGGAACATGTTTTAAATCATAAGATTAAGGCCCCCATAATTTCCCTAAGCTCTGAACCCTAAACCGTCATAACTTAAGGTCTATTCCTTAATTGAGGGGTCTTAGGCTCTCGGGCTCTCTGGGTCAAGGATACAAGGATGGGTTGAAGGTCAGGGTCTCGGAGTTCGGGCTCGGAGCGCGAAGAAGTGGCGCTGGGGGGGCGGGGGGGGGGTGCTGGGAGGTTAGGGTTTAAGGATTTAGGGATTTAGGGATTAGGGTTTAGGGATTTAGGGATTAGGGTTTAGGGTTTAGGGATTTAGGGTTTAGGGATTTAGGGTGTAGGGTTTAGGGTTTAGGAGTTGCATTGCATGTGACACTGCGGGAGTGTGGTTTCTTGTCTAGGGGTTGAGGCTACAAGCTGATCCTTGCAGGCAGGACACGGTTAACACCCTGTGTGCTATACTAGGCCATTTACGTGGAAATCATCCCTAAACCCTAAAAAACCCTAAACCCTAAACCCTAAACCATGGCGCCCTGAAAAAGCCCAGACCAAGAGCTCTTCACTTCCAGATTGTCCTAGACCCTAACCACAGCTTAGGGGTACTTAGAAATAATTTTTAATCTTTGGCTACGACAAACCCTAAGAAGCAGCTAAAATTATAATTTTTGCTAGGGGTCTAAGTTCAGTGTAGACAGGGTTTAGGGTTTAGGGTTTAGGGTCCAGGCAAGAGCTAACTCTGAAACCTGCATGCACAACCATTCGTGTAGAGCAATTCCACAGCGTCAGGTTCGTGGACGGACCTACCCAAGGCCAACGATGAGGTCCAGCCTGAGTTCGAGTTTCTGGCCCTGATGTACCATACAAGGCCGTGAGGGTTTGGGGGGGCAAATGTGGTAAAGCTATAAATCATTATAAATCCTATCCTTTCTGCCCCTATAGTCGCTTCGGTAATTGAGTATACTATACATCATCTCAGAACCTTATTCTGATTGGTAAGGGCCCCCTATGTGACGCCGAACCTTACCACAGAAAAGTCCAGGCGCCAGTACACTGGAAGCAACGGCCCTCTCTTCATGGATGAGATTTCTGCGAAGAAGCTGCACGACGAAGCTGAGCTGCAGCTAGTTTCGGGATTTGGGAGTTTGGGGTTTATAAGCTTTCGGGTTTATGGTTTGCCCTAGAAGTTGCTTCCGGGCCGCGCACCACGAAGGGCACCGCAGAAGCATGTCATGTTTTTTCCCCCGAAAACAGAAGCAACTGCAAGGCCTTGCAGGTGGTATAAACGATTTGGGCGACAGTGCTGGCAAAATCAAGGGCCCTTCAGGGCCTGCGATATTGAACGTCGTTGCAGTGTGATGCTTTTTTGAGAGAGGTTGAGCTGCTTGGGGGGTGTAAACCGAGGGTTTTTTGAGATTTCCTAAAGCCTCAAACCCGTCAACACCAGGCCATGCATCCTAAATCTTCTTAATATAGGGGCCTCAATAATTACCTATATTATTTTGGGGTTGCAGTATTATAATTATAGTATAATGGGCCCCCAAGCCCTATTCTAAATTTAAAAGGCCTTTATATTAAACGCCTTTCGCAATTTAGCCTCAGACTCTCTTCGCAGCGTATGGCTCTGTTCTGCGCAAGGAAATCCTGACGCGAGAGAAAGTGAGTCGCATGGTCACTCGCCTGGGCCTGGGCAGCGCCAGGCCGGATCTACTATAGGGGCCTCAATACTTAATTAACTATACTACATTGGGGTTCCTTATTATACTTATACTATAAAGCACCCCAAAACCCTATTTTAATTATTCAGGCCCATATATTACTTTAGTCGCGGAGTGCTTTGAGGTCTTTTGCACAGGGATTCAACGTAGGGGCCTGCTCCAATTCTGATGGCTTCTGTATCTTGTATGTTTTGAGGAGTTTAGGCCCGAAAGCCTGCCATCCGTGGCACAATCTAAACTGTCTAAACGCACCTCGAGCTTCGAGGACGGGGCCCCTTCTAAAAGGAAAGCCCTGCAGCAAAAAAGCAGCGAGCTTTAACTTCTTGCTGCCTATACGCCGACACCACGAAAGCCCCCAGTCCCTTAGGGAACCTTTGCAGAAACCTTAATTTGTAAAGCCCTCCAAACCCCAAGCCCTATACTCTAAACTGCCGAGATCGCCGCTGGCCATTTGCATGGGTGCTCGCGGCTCCGACCGAGACCCCCAGACTGGCAGATTCTGGGGGCCCCAAGAGTGAGCGAGAGTGAGAGTTGCCCCTTGGCAAAAGGGCGGGCACATGGTCAAACTCGTGGCAGCGCAAGCATCACCTGAATCTTCATGGGCCCGCCACGAAGCAAACCTGGAGGCGAAAGTGCCCAAGCGGCAGTCTTGGGGGGTCGACCTCGCCTGGTTTGGCTGGCTCCCCGCCACCTGGCCTGCCTGCCCTGTCCTGTCCTGCCTTCGAGCAACCCTCACTGGGCGAGAGGGGCGATTGTTTGTTGGGAACCTTTGCTTCTCGTCGAGCGGCCGAGGACCCACACTCCGGCACCAATCCACTTCAGCTCTGGCGCACCAGAAAGCCCCCGTTAACGGGGGGTTTGGGGGGTGAACCCTAAACGCATGTTGAGAATATTTGGGGTGGTTGGGGCGGGACTACATGCTGACGCAGGCACGCGATAAGTGGGCGAGCCCCTATTCCTACCACAAAAGGCGCACCCACTACGCGTGCGCTGTATATATACACACCCTAAACCCTAAACCCTTAACCTTAAGCCCTGCAGCGTCCAAAAACTGCCAGTGTGGTCCACGGGAGCTTCCTCGCCAGTACTGAGCGGATGCCATGGTGGCCTAGTGCTTATCAGGACCCGGTTTAGGGTTTATAGGGTTTAGGTTTAGAAAGCTTAAACCCTCAGCCCTTGTCAGGCTTCGGGTTTTTTGGCTTTGGTTTTGAGGTTTTTGTGGCTCGAGCGTTCGGGGTCGGGAGGACATATCGTCTGACTTTCAGAGAATAGGGGTTGCTGTGATGGTCAATTGCGAGGCTATCGAAACGTGTCTCGCATGTACCACTAACCCCCAAACCTTAAACCCCAAAATAAACTCTAGACCTCAGCCCTAAATCTTTCGTGTAGGACTGGGCCTACCACTCCTTCATCCTCTTCGAAGATGGCACAATCGCGGAACCTTGTTTTGAAGGGGTCAGTATGGGTTTTTTTTATTTCGGGATTGAGGGTTTAGGACATGGACTAAGGACCCTAAGGTTTACACCCTAAACTCTAAACCGGGGGCTTGGGGTTTGACTTTCAGGATTTTCAGGGTTCAGGACTTTAGGATTTGGGGATTTGCGGTTCAGGGTTGACAGGTGCAGGATCGACGAACCCCAAACGTAGCACCAGTGGCCCCGACCCCCTAAGCATGAAGATCCTAACGCTAACCCTGGGGCTCCAAGTTTAGAAATAATACTTTTGGGGTCTAAAGTCAAGAAACAGTACCTACTTTGGACCATTTGCAACCCGGGGTAACATCTAAACACGAAGGTCTCCCTATGCCAAGCTATCTTCGGATGCAATGTCAAGGAATCGAGGCCTCGTTTGACTTGGCAGGTACGGGGTCTGTAGTGCTCAAAGACGCAGACATTCGAGGATGCCACATGTTTTACGATGATGAAGACCCCATTGCAGAGACACGAAGAACATTGGCAGAGACCTTATAAATTTAAACCAGGAAGTCGAGCTATTGCGAAATGTGTTCTAGATTCGAGCAGAGGTAAGGTTTCAGAATCTTCAAAACATGCAAAGCCTGTGCATGGGTGTGAGTTTGCGCATGCACACATATACCTGTGTAGCTGCCTACCTTCCTGCCTGCCTGCCTGCCTGCCTGCCTACCTACCTACCTTCTACCTTCTACCTACCTGCCTGCCTACAGATCAACCTGCCTCCCTCCTACCACCACCTCCCACCTCCTACAGACCACCTACCCACCCCCTGCCTCGCACCCCCCGAATCATTAGCTGCATGCATGCATGTACAGCAGACAGCAGACATGCTGATATATGCATATAAATGCAGACAGGCTGGAAGGGACAGCACACTCCTTGCCTGCAGGCTCCAAGCCGAAGGGTTACCTTGGAGGTTCATGGGTAGTTATAAGTGGGGTTGTACGTAGGGTGGCCATAATTATAACCCATTCGGGTACTTATAACCCCATTTATAACTACCCATGAACCTTCAAGTAGTGACCGCAACACCCGAATCCAAAGCTAGAACCCCCGATGACAGTCGGTTCCACTGGATCGGGGTTCTTACGGACCCTGCTGGTGGTACCTTCGAAGGTCGTAGCTTACCATGAACCCCAAAGCCCTAAAGCCCTAAACTCTGAAGACCCCTAAGCCCTAAACCCTCAAACCCACAAGCCCTGAACCCTGAACCCTAAACCCTAAACCCTAAACCCTAAACCCCTAAACCCCTAAACCCCTAAACCCCTAAACCCCTAAGCCCTAAACCCCTGTGATGCACAGGATATCACCGCCGACTTGTTCGACACCTCGGTGCCCCAGCTCTGGTTCCCTGCAGATCCGGCTCGCTACGACCGCAGTCCCTGGACGGCAGGGAGAAAGCCACGGTGGCTTTGTAGATACTTGTTATCTGTCTATTATCTAAGTATTTATCTACTTATCTG